TGTAATCTTGCCGTAGCTATTCGTTATTTTGGAAAGCTCATTTCCAGTCAGCTGGTGATGCAGCAGAATGTGATCCCTGGTGCTGGTAATTCCTCTTCGTTCTTCAGTGTTGATACGTGCGGCTTACCGACTTATGTTAATATTACCAGTACTGTTTAGTAATCGATGATGCCATTGCAAAAATTGGGCTATGTACACATCTAACATTTGTGGATTTTCGGTAACGAGAATGTTACTCGAATTCAAACTGCTTGCATTCTTTCATTACTGAAAATGATCTTCAATTGTTGTTCGATAAGAAGGCAGTTTTGAAAGGGATTTACAATTTGCATTACTTACAATAACATAGGCAGGGGTTGATTGGCTGTGTTTGACAGTTGGCAGAATGAACATGGAAGTTTTTAAAGGTTTATTCTAAAAAAATTGTTACAAGAGCTCTGAAAGTTTTTAAAATGCTATTGTTCCTTATGAATGAGCAGCGTCTTATTTGTAAGCAGACTTACTGTGTGAATTCATTTTTTTACTTAGCTCATATTTTTCGCATGTTTCTTCACAATTCTTTCAGTTCCCTTCTTTTGCATCTGCTATTTTGCATCTGTTATTATTTAAGGAGTCATGGTCGCTGCTTGACCTTCACGAGCGCTGGATTTTCTAAAAACGTTAATTCACTTTAAGCAAATTTTTAGCTTGTAATTTTCGGTCGGAACCAGCGCTTCTTAGATTTTTTATGCTATGTTTTGCTCATTTACGCATCTTCCACATTACTTTTACATCTTTTGCAGCAACTGGTGCACTAAAACGTTATAGAACGTTGGTGGAATTAATCCGGTTGAAGTTTTGTAAGAAGTAGTATAGTTGTTGCAGCAGGAAAGTTTGTACAGCGCCAGTGCGTTAAGTCTGTAAGTATAGGGTCTTGAGAACGGGAGTGCATAATTTAAAATTTTATTTTGCTGGAAAAAAACTAAGTCCATTGATGTTGAGCTAAAGCGCACTAAATTCGCTGATGCTAGTTTTGTAATGTGCATATGTTAGTCAGTCTCGACGCGAAGATTTATTTACTTGCGATGCTGTGCCAGTTGTGCGCATTCCTGGTGCGGTTTTTTTCCAATGCGATTCTTGATTTCGCATTTGTCGCAAAAGTACCCTGCCAAAATACTTCCATGGAGGGATGCCAAAAATGCGGCATAATGCGTGTAAATCTGTAAAAATAATGCATTTGTGGAGTTTGATTGTTTTTCTTTATGACGTAGGGAAAGAAGGGTAGATATTTTTTTTCACCGGTTGTAGGAGCTGCGGGGTGTTGGGTGCGGGTGCAGTCCTGTCATTGGAGCACCAAAAGATGATCACTTAGAAATCAAATGTGTCTATGAGAACAACAATCCTCTCAGATTCCTGTACATCTGGGTGCTGCAATTGTAATCTAAATTAGTCGATTCTTTCCACTTTTTTTTTCGTATACATGATGGATCTAGGATTTTTTGCGACATTAGGTTTGAGGAATAACTTCATGCCGAAAAATACATTATGCATATCCTGAAACACAATTGAAATATTCCGAACGGTTTTTGAGAAGGCATTGGGTTGCACGCGTGTTTATTCGTCTACAAGCGATCCATCACTGTTTCAGCTGAATTGTACCTGTTATCTTATGCCAGCTACTTAAAATCCTTCCGTTTTTCTGCATTTCTTTTAGTCTTCCAGCGGTGATACTTTAAAATAAAATTTACTAAAAACGCTGTTGCCTGTTTGACATCTCTGTCGTGAGAGCGCACGAAGAGCCTGCAGAGAAAAAGCCATCCGCGACAAGTTCATGACAAGAAAAGTATATGTTGCCTTTTTTAGAAGCAGAAATACAGAAGCGCTAACAGGCTGTTCCTATGCACAGAGGCACCAGTAATACAGTATTTTAATACGTTTCATTCCTTTTCGAACATGATAGGTCTGATTTCCTCATACATAGTAAAAGAGGGTTCTTTTCACAAAAATCTTCAAAGCAGGTAGAGACCCACAGGTTTGCTGGTGCGTTCATGCGTTTTTACATGATTCCATCCTGTAGAGAGATCGCTGGTACCACTGAGATATGGCTTTGATGCTGCAGTTTGACAGTTTGATGCACTTGTACGCAAAGCGCATGCCTCAGCAGAAGCTCATCTTATGCTTGCTGAATGCACGTGAACAACGAGCAGTTTCAAAAAAATACTGTTTTCCGCTCAGTCAGGGTGCCGGGTTAATTTGTTGCCAACAGTAGCTCAAACTAAACTTTCACTTGCGTGCACACGAAACCTAGGCGTGCTTTAAAGCCGAATTTGAAATAGTTGGGTTGCACATTCGCATATCCTCATAAAGTTTCAGCATCTTGGCTTGAGTGGCGAAATCGCTTTTCTTTGCAGATATCTTTGACTTTCCGAGACGCGCGACACAAGCTAACACCAAAGCCCATTTTACGTTTGCATGTCCATGTATGGAAAACAAATACTCTCATAAAGTGAAAGCACTCTGACCCGCTTAGTTTCCGAAGTGACTTCTTGCCAACAGTGGCGAAATCATAACTTTGCTATGCTCGTACACGTGGCGTAGATGTGCGTTAATGCTGAGTTTGAAATCTTTAGCTCACAAAAAGACAGAGGGCATCCCTTTTAAATTACATTTCTCGACTTTCTCTGGTCCCCAAAATTGCCTTCTCGATAAAGAGTTTGCGTGAATTCTTTCAGATATCTGTAAGTGAGTTCAAACTGTTTGGATGGTACGTGGGCTAACATTGTTTTGGAATTCTAGTTTCTTAGCTTCTACGGTTTCTGAGTCTAATCTGGGAGAAAAAAATTCGAACACCCACTCGCATCTACACATGCTGGCAGTGCATGTTTTTTGCTGCAACAATTGCGCAAAACGCTTATTTTCGAGACACTGTAATATATATATATGTTCCGAGTGCATCTTGTCCGGGGGTTTCAAATCGAGAACTACAAAAGCTAGGGGGCTGAAATTTTGGTAGAATGTCCTTCTCCCACTTCTCCGCAAACTTAAATTTAGTCCTCATGTACTCCGGGTACCGCGTAAGACACCACGAATGTTTTGGCGGAGAAATTACTATTTAGGGGAACCAAGAAAGCTAAGGATTTGAAATTTTAGGAGAATGTCCCTTGCTCAATTACGACATCGTGAACTTAAATTCAGCCTTTCCACTCGTCCGGGTACCGTGCTTGGCCTCGTGAAAGTTCCGGTCGAGAAAATTGCTCTCTGGGGGAACCATGAAAGCTAGAAGGCTGAGATTTTGAGATAACGCCCCTGCTCACATACGATTCAGCAAATTGGAATTCAGCTTTCACGTGAGTCTGGGTCCCACGTACTGCCCGTGAATGTTTCGGCGGAAAAAGTTATTATTTTAGGGACGAGAAGAGCTTGGAGGCTGAAAACTTCAGGAGGATGTTTTCTGCTGCAGGGCTTAACATTCAAACTTAGCTCCCAGTTATGTTGGGGTCTCAGGTATGATCACGTGAAGG